AATTTTGTTCAGTACGCGAGGTTAAGATGTATATAAATAATGAAATTTTTGCCACATTGAACTTTCTGTTCGTGTACTCTGCTGAATAATCTCAGTGAAATATCTTTTGGAGAATTCCACAGACAACTAGTTTGTAGCGTGATTCTATGTCAAATACTTTTGTTGAGACATGCTGTGGTTGTTCTGATGTTTTATCACTTAATAATGGAAATTAATAATGGAAATTTTAAAGCTTTTCCGTTATAATTCCTGATTTCTTTTTTAGGGCAAACACGAGGTGTTACATAAACTATATTTGACAGCTGAAGTTTCGGTACTTCGCCTTTTTCGAGGCCCGGAATGGTCAAATTGTCTGCAATCCGATCAGTCAAACACCTCCATTACTCCATTAGAAAAAAATTACCAGACCTAGATTTCAACCGCACCAAGCACAAAATCAACTCTCAACATACAATGATTCAAATGGAGACCACAGAAAGTACATCACATAGGCTCGTAATGCACCTTATCCATCAAAAGACAGATGATAGTTGGACTAGTAGTGTTAATTCAAAGTTCTTCCAGAATTTTTTGCGCTGATGTTTTTTGTTCCTGCGCAAGGATGGTGACTTTGATCTCAAAATCAACTTCGTCGTGTTTCTGTTCTCTATGTGTACCTAGCGGGGTGTTTCGTCCATTGTGAAGCTCGTCAGCTAGGTGTTCTTCTATGCGGGCATAGAGCGGCCTACCCGTTTCGCCTATATATTTATCGCTACACGCTTTGCAAGAGATTAGGTAGAATGTCCCTAAGCTCATAAAATCGCCATCTTTGCCGTTAGAACATATTTTACAATCTTTCATTGTACAGAGACGGTCATATAAGCGGTTGCAAACTGATTGGCGTTTTAGAATATTCGGTGGTATTTCAATAATAGCCACCGATTGCTCTGAACCTGGTCTTTTCAACAGTGTTCTATAGCTGTACTTATCTCATTTGGAAAGAACGGGAAGATAAAGGGTATTCTCCTTTCATTCGAATTTCGTTCGGAGGCGTACTGCTTCCTCTACACCTAAGCTGAGAAATTACAAATTCGTATCCATTAGAAGTGGCTATTTCAGCCAGTTTAACGGATTCTACTATCTGCTCCTCCCCGGTACATACATTGGCTGCTGTTCGAACCATGTTTTTTACAAACGCCTTTTTCATACGTGAGGGATGAGAAGACATATAGTGAACTAGGACATTATTATTACTTGGCTTTCGGTACCACTTTGTTATGTAGTCGCTCTCGGTTAAGTTTATTTGCACGTTCAAAAAATGAGTCAATTATCTTTTGGTAACTCACGTGTAAATCTTATATTCTTGACTGTTCATTCAACAGTCCAAAGCAGTTATTTAGCTCTTTTTGAATGGAACAGATGACCAAACAATCATCTATATACGTACGGTGGAGTAATGACCGGAGATCCATCACTAGTGCTTCCACTTTCGACATAAAGGCAATCGCCAGGCTAGGTGCCAGTCCCTGCCCCATTGCCAGCCTCTCAGTTGAGCATAATATTTCCCGGGCCATCTGAAGATTGAGCAGTTCGGGTACTCTTTTAATAGAACCATGAACTGCTCAATCGACAAGCCATACATGTTTACAGTTCTCTGGTGCTGTATCAGAAGCTCATGTGTGGCTTACAATGCGGAGTCATTCGACACGTTGATATATCAGCAATGACTCCATTACGTACGCATTGTTCGGGTTCGCGTTACGGAAACGATCCAGGAACATCTGAGTGTTCGTCAGATGGGCTGGAATATGTCCTAGCAACTGGGATGTTATTAACGTTATGAACCAAGCTATCTTATCCGTCGGTCCGCCTACACAGCTGATGATGGGCCTAACTTTGAATCTAGATGAATCGTTAGACATTGACATTGGATACTAACTGCGTTTATAAGTAAGTATATGACTGAACATGATGGTGGTTGAATTTTCCAAAATGACAGATGGTTTTAAGCCTGCTGCTTTTGTCTTATGGACCCACTTATTGTTGAATTTGCGGTTTTGCCTCTTGAATTCCTTTACAGAAGATAATCGGTAAAGCGAAGCATCTTTGAGATGCCTACTCGTTATTGCAATATCTAACTGTCGAGTAATCACAACAAACTCTCCTCTCTTATCAATGGCTGATGGCGCTATCCTTCATTCCCTTATCAACTCTCGCACCTCTTTCATGACATCTATCATTTTAAAAGAGATTGAGTTCTGCTCTAACATGACATTTTAATCTTTGCTTTCGTACGCCAGAGTATAGTCCCCGAGGTTTCACGTTCTTCGGAGCCTGAAATGATTTTTTCTACGTTCACTCGCAGTCTGCCCAGTGAGCCACGTTCGTGATTTCTGTGTATAAATCAATAAGTGAACTAATGTGATAATGCTATCGGTATAGCTGAATATTTGTTTTCCTAAATCTTTACTTTACTTTAAGTTGTACCAGAAAACTTTGAAATGACAAGTCTTGGAAGACACTAATGCCTAATGTTTGAGTAGTGAATACTGTAGAATACAATTTTGGGGAAAAAAGGGGAACTTTAACTTTACACCTCCTCGGAAAACAAGACGTTCAGATTGAAAAATTCATCTAAGCGTATTTTCCTTGCAGTGTTCAAGGCTAACGGCTCTGCAATAGTCTGCATAAAGTTGTGTACTCTTACATGAATTTTCCAAGAACTTTTCACTCATAGAACTTCATAGCATAAACTTATGCACAATACACTCATTTCGAAGAATATCATTGGCTAAAACTTTTTGTAGCAAATGCGAAATCATATTTTGTGCACTTGATAAAAGGGTTGGTCCAGTGACTACAATGGTATCTGCGTTTGGTATCTCGCAAATGCAGAATCTCTAGCCCCTAATCTGTAAGCAAACTTTGGTATAACCAAACAATAAGTAAACAAAAAATAATAGTACTTACTTTGTCATCTAAAGCGGCTTTATCGGAGTAACTGTTACTACCTCGCAAAGTGAACTATAAAGTTTTTGAAAGTCAAAAAGGTCTGTGCTCTGAATTTTGGTTGCAAACAAATTGCAAACCGCCAAACCTACGCAACGACGTCTGTCAATGCGATCGTAACACACTTTTCCTGTGACACAGCGATCGGCGTGTGCCTCGCATCGTTGACAAATGCGAATTTTGCTAGTTAGCAAGTCATTTTTGCGTCTACACTCTGTACCTCCGATAATCTTGGCAGCGTCCTTTGGGCTTGACCATTTGTCGAGGAAACGACGCCGAGTGCTTGCCATCTGCGTGCTTAAGAATCTCACTGGGGTCCTACTGTTTCCTTTCAAATCTATTCATTATGTGGGCCGGTCGTTGAAAGAATATCCCTGTGGATATTCGAGATTCAAATCTTACGAAACGAATTTGCTGATGAGCAGACACGACGCTGTTATCTTGATTTAATTAGTACAACATGCATGACGGTTCAGCTGTTTCCTCCGTTTAACAGTTTGGAAATGTTCTAACGACTAAGCTGCAAACCATGAATTCTGCTAATTATTAGTTTTTTGAGTGATTCGATTGAACTGGCTGAAAAAGGATATCGCAGGTATGCTCTTTTTAACATTTGGCATCTTGTTCCCAGCCATTTACTGCTCTAGAAATAAAGTTTTTAGCAAGAAAATGGTCAGTCTTCGGTACCACAGGTCTCCCTTCAAGCCTCCATCTGACAGCATCTGTAGAAATGGTGCGATCGTTTCCTTAATCATTGATTAATAGGATTCATGCCTTCTTAAAAGAGGAACGGGACTGCACATCCATTTTGGCTGTACGTCAACAATACACGATAAATAGTTGCGTCACGACTAGTAGACATACACCTAGTTCTTCAAAAAAATGCTAACTTTCGCTACTACTTGAACTTGTGAAAAGCGTAGCTTGCTAATAAACAACTCATTACACGTCCGCCTACTTTGAATGCAAATAAAACTCTTAATTGTGGCTAAAAAGCTCCCTATCACTTTGCAATTATACGGTTGTTGACACTGTGTCAATTGCAGTAAGTTGAGCGAAGAACACCATGATTGGGGCTTTTCATAAACTTTATATTTTCTCTTCTCTACTACTGATCGATCAATTGATAACTAATGCTTCGATAAAACGCCCAAAGCCTTATCGAATTGTCCGAGTCCATCCCTCCAAGCTCGGAGGCATTGTAACAGACTTGTTTGAGAGGATGGTAGCCCTGATTTGATACATCGGCAAGCAACCGCGAGTCATTGTAAAGCCCGGATATGGACGCAACCGCCTCAAACTATGTCTGTGAAGAAGAATGTATGGCGCATCCCTTAGGGATTGCTAACGCCGTAAGCTGCACCATTCGTCCTTCTAACGTTTCCGGGGGTTTCCTCTTCTTCAGAGCTGGTGAAAATGAGGGCGGAAACCGTGGCTAATCAACGGCTGAAAGGCGACAAATACGTCGCGAGAATCCAGGCGAATAATATTTTTATATCATTTCTTTGTCGTACGTGCTGAATCGTAAAAGAATGCTATCATTGATTGTTGATATTCTTATGAGCCAAAAACCAAAGTTCCTCACACCATCTCTCCAACAGCAGCGTGATCAATTTGTACGAGACACACTTGATTCGCATACTGAGGGTACTGTGGAGAGAATTTTAAAGGTCAGTTACGCTTCTTGGTATTTGAAAGTAAATGGTATCGACTTATTGATTTACTTGACCTCTTAATTTTCTGTTTTCTAGCAGTGCTATCGTGTCATGAATACACACCTATGAGTATTGAGTAGTATGCACGACACTCGACCACACCTGGGAGTTGAACCCGCATTCCACCCGTACTGTGGCTACCACTACTTCACAAAGGACATTGCTATGCTTTCTTTTCAATACATCCTGTCGTGGTTGTCAAAAACCGATCTCTAACGGACTTGGTCAGGTACATATATATCGCTATTAGACCTAGTTACGGTGACATACGTACAATCTGAGGAGCAGCTTAACAGCGTTCTCGGTGGTATAGTGGCAGTACACGCCCCTGGTATGGGTCAAACGCGGGTTCAATTTCCGCCTGAAACACATTTTTGCATTACACTCAACACTTAAAAGGATAGAAGGATAAAGCTCTCGGCGTTGATCAATCCCTGAGGGATGCGCCATGCATTCGGCTTCAATTTTCGACTTCGTTTGAGGTGATTGAATGCAAATCTGGCCTTTACAATGACTCGCGGTGGCCTCCCGCTGAACCGAGTCAGTGCTGCCTATCCTCCCAGACAAGTCTAAGACCTGCCTGGTACCATTTTACCGACCCCGGAGGGATGGATGGCTTGGTGAGCCATGAGCGCGAAATCGAACCATTGACCTCGTATGCGACGCAGAGCACCTCTAACCACTGCGCCACATGCGCTCCTCACTCAACACTTATAGGTGTATATTTGGTAGATTATCAAATTCGAAGTGCCCTTTCGTATATGCTGACATACATATCTTGGGTATTTTTCCAATATCCCTGATCTAGCTTGAATCGCGGTGACTTTGGTGATACGTTTGCTTCTTAAAAACGATCTTTCAATGCGCTGTAGCAGCGGATATAAAACTGAGTTTAACACTCGGTGTACCACGTATTTTCTTTATTTATTCAGAGTTTTTTTTCTTCGATTCTTACAAATTCTTAGGTATTACGTGATAGGGCTTGGAAGAAACTTCATTCTTTCATTCTACGAGCTTAGGCTTTTGATTTCTTTCAATAGCCTTACAATAGTCCAATTGACGTGGTTAAAATAATGTGTTTGTTTCTAAAGAATGACTTTTCAGAGCGCTGTAGCAGCGAGAATTAATTTGAATTATACACTCGGTTTATTGTCCCTCAACTTTCAATTGTCCGGACGCTGGCTGGTCATTGCCACGCAGCTTAGTAAGCTTTCTAAATGCCTGACTTGAGCATATTATGTTTATTCTTATTTCATAAACAAGGTTAATCTTCCTTCAAAATTTTTGAATCCATTTTAGCACCACTGAGATAACTTACAGTCAGACAGTGATATTTAGGGATGTCATCCTCGTTTTGTGCAGCTGGCATTGAGCACTTTATTTCAGGTTCGTATTCTCCGAAGTTATGAGAGAATTTTCGATGAAACTGAAGCAGAATCGGTTGGAAAAAAGGGTACTTCGACAGATTCGGTTCGACTTTTACCCTCGAATTCTTTTTACGGTTCATTTCGTGCACTCAATCCGGAGAAAAATCGTCGTACGTGTTGTTCCTGCACTGAAGAAGATTGTCAAAAACTTGTAGTAATTTCATCACATCAATTTAGAACCCGTTCGAGTTGTAACGAATCTACTTTTTCTTATTTTCATCAAATTGTGGCAGTAAAAAACCACTGAAAATAGGGGGAAATTGTTTTGCTAAGATTATCTATTGAAGGTGAGATGTGACTTTCCGAACTCAGTTTTGATTTAATAGAGCTCGGGTCTGCCATTTTGATCCATATCAATTCATTCGATCCTACCTAATTTTGTGAACTGATTTTTCTTTATCCTTGGCATGAACAATCAGTGGTAGTTACCTGCATGATTTAGCATATCCCACAAGGCACTTGATACAAAAAATTTTATTTGCCTAACGTTACGACAGCGCGTTTGGCGCAGTGGTTAGAGTATCAACGACGTGACCTTTGTCACTTATCTATTTCACTTTGCGACTTGTTTTGTGTCTTCTGCAGAGCTGATAAAGATGGCGAAGGCCAAGTGTTGTCAGTGGAATCGAGTCATTAACGGCTCTGAAGAAGACGAAAGCGTCGCGAGAAGTTAGACAAGTAAAAGTTTTTTCCGTCACTCTTTTCGTCGTATGTGCTGAGTCGTAAACAAATTTCGCTCGTATATTGCATTCTTGTGGTTAACGTGTGTATCTGAAAAATTTCCCTATCCATAATTAGAATGCGGCTGGTTTCATATGACGTCATTCGGTATTTAGAAGCTCTAGTCTTTTTTCCCCCGTTTCTTCTTAAGTGTGTGGTCTAAGTTAGTATCTTAGAATAAGGTTTTCTCTGCGAACGAGTGTACATTCGATTACAAAGCGGAGTTTCTTACAAATATCAGATTTTAGTACAGGACGAGGCACTGTGTTCCGCTGCATAATCCCAGAATCAAAAGGTAACAGGAGTGTCCGGCCTTTCACTTGTGGTCGTGTCTAAATCATAGTTTCGGAAGGTCGCTTTTGAGTATTCATAGAAAAGAAAGTCTTTCAACAGCTTTTTCAGTACGAAGTGCGAAATGTTGCACAAAGGACAGTATATGATATACATGACAGTCCACTATAAATAATCTTCTCTCAACCACTTAGACTTTCGCTTCTGTGGGGTGGTCATTGAAGCCGAAATGTATTTCGTAACTATTACATAAACTAACATGTCATGTGGTCTGCTAATGGGTTCTTGTACTGCTTGATACACGTGTTTCGACCTTACAGTCTCGTAAGTAGGGCAGAACCCTTCGTCTTTAGCCCATCCTCTCGAGAGTCAATACTCTCCTTATAATGAGGTAAGTGGCGACGAACGATTTACATTGCACTGCCGTCAAGTGATAATCACAAGATCGGCAACTTTCGACAATCGATTACTCGTGGCTGGTATTTTCATAATATTATACCATTCATTTCGAGTGTTATATCAAAACCACGCTCAAGTTTCAATATATCTCATAATTATTATCTGAGTCGAAATGCTTGAACTACTTTTCGAGCAAAACAGCATTTTACTAAGGTTTGCACTATTATTATAGTTGAGCAAGTCCAGCTCTATAATCATGTGATGTTTTTGATTCCTTGATTGCATTGTTTGTCGAAGAAACGCATTTTCGATGACGGAAAGTAGATGCCGCCGTCATTCTATCAAATGAAGCTTTATGAATGAATGAAGATCAATTTGAAGAAGTATGTACTTCAAAGAAGTGATAGACTAGGGCTATGAAGCAAAATCTTTTCTGGGTTTCACCCTCCGTCTTATTCATCTATTCTGCTTGTCAAAAAAATTGTCTGCATTTGTAGAAAAATACAGTGTGCTTCATTATGTGTTTACCACGTAAAAATCATTTCTGAAAAGCAATCGACTGCTATTCCATTTAGTCAAGCAAATGATCATAATAATCTTCTCATAAAATGTAAAAATATAAGTGCTACTATTATCACACATACATACACATATTCATGTACATATAATATATGTTGTTGATCACCTGAAAAACTGCTACATTACCGCCTCGCTAGTATAAACTTAACGCAACTCAACTATAGCAACGCCACGTTCCAAGTGTCGATATTCAGAGTAGAGACATAGCAGATACACTTCAGTACTCTTCTTCTCACAATTCGTTCAAAAAAGCCTACTTTCAAAACAACACGTATCTGCCATGGAAAAGCATGTAATGTCGATTAAATGGAAAAGTTGAAGAAAAGAGATTTGTAAGGATATGACTTATTTTGAGCCATAGGTCTAGTGCTATATGGCGCCTATTTCGTCCTATTGGGACTCATCAGTAGCACCCTCCCTCGGTTCCGTCGATCCCTTGAGGTTAAATAATCCTCTAAAGGAATCGGCGCCGAGTAAAAACTAATCACCCAAAGTCGGATGATGGCCTTACCTGACTTTGTGGTGACCGGCAGTCGAGCTTACGGCTTTTAAAATAAACTATACTTCTGCTATCGACTGCTTTTTTACAGACCCGCTCAAACCTTTACAGACCCTTTACATCATCCGACTTTGGGTGATTAGTTTTTACTCGGCGCCGATTCCTTTAGAGGATTATTTAACCTCAAGGGATCGACGGAACCGAGGGAGGGTGCTACTGATGAGTCCCAATAGGACGAAATAGGCGCCTATATAGCACTAGACCTATGGCTCAAAATAAGTCATATCCTTATCAGATTAAATCATTTTGAGCGGGTCTGTAAAAAAGCAGTCGATAGCAGAAGTAAAGAGATTTGTATAAGATGAAATTCGTAGTCGTTACATGCATTTTGGTTGTCAGTGTTATCATAGAATGAGCAGAAAAGGATTTCTCGTATGTGGCTTAGCGCTGAAAGTGTCAAATGAGACCAGAAAGCACACTACAGACTTAGAATGCTTCTTTGTAAACTACCATTTTCATAATCGGGAAGCCTGTGCACCGCTTTATATTTTCACGTGAAGAAAAACTTTATTCAACAGATAACAATGCTTAGGAAATAAAGGAAAAAACAAAGAACACTAAATAATAAGGATAAAGTTCTATTAATTAGATACAGTGACTCCCTCTGATCCGATAAGATTTATAAAGGTGTGAAAATTTATATATGTGATGTAATCTATAGATAAAATATAATGCAAAAAATGTGTAAGGAAACAAATTCTCCTCAGGAGAAAATTGTAGTATAACTACCACCAACTATTTCACATCGTTTCTAATTGGTCGCTCAGGTCTCATATCTACAAGCACTCATATTTCATTGAAAGAACGTGGGCTTCTCCAAACGAATGTTCTGGCAATAATGTCTGCAGACACCTGAGTTATATTAATAGTGAATTGGAACTATTTTTTTTAGAAATTTTTCCGCTCTTAGAGGTAGTTTGTTGATGTCTCAAATATGTTTCCGATAATGTTCGATGACGTGCGAAACTTTGAATGTCGCACAGAAGTGGAACTCGCTTTTGAGCATTTCCGGGGCGCATGCTAACATCATACTACCGCCAAAAGCGGTTAGATTAAGATGAGTTCTGATTGATTGTATATATATCCAATATCTACCGACGTGACTCACCGCTAGCAGAATGGTTGGTAAGGGTCCCCGCAAAGGGTGAAATACAGGTTCGTATCTCGTCCGACGTTCAAAGTTTTAGGTCCTTTCTGATTAGGATGGACAAAGAATAACCGCTCTCATTCGCTAGAGAGATACTTTTTACAGGAGTGCTAGCAACCATTCGAAAACTGAGATTCACGCTACAGCCCCACGTCTGCGGTTTTTCAAAACACCCCTTTAAGACGCTGTAACATTCAGAATAATATCATGTTCCATAAAACCACGTGTTTCTTCTCTTATCTCGCTT